GAGCAGGTATTCTTACATATGGCTGAAGGGGACATATGGCTTTCTTTATCTTTCCGATATGTTCGGGTGGAAGAAAAACCCTTGCTCTGACAGAGTATAGACGTGCCTCTATATAATCTATGACCTGAGTTGGTTGCAGGTGGATTTGTCTCTGTTGATTTCTAGACCAAGGCTCGTCAGGGTCTGGAGAACAAACTTGGTGTCTCGTAAGGCTTTGCGTTGGGAGGCAGCTACTACCAGCCAATCGCCTATACAGTGGTGCCTCGCTTTACGATGTTAATTCGTTCCAGCGAAATCGCTGTAGAACGAAAACGTAATGCGAAAATAAAAAATCCATTGAAATGCATTAAAACCCGTTTAATGCATTCCAATGGGCTAAAAACTCACCGTCCAGCGCAGATCCTCCATAGGGCGGCCATTTTCAGTGGTTGTCTTGCGAGGAATCCGTCCCAGAAAACAGCAGGGAGCCATTTTATTTACCCGGCGGCCATTTTGAAACCGCCAATCAGCTGTTCATCGTTTTGCAAAGAATCGGTTCCCAAAGCAGGGAACCGATCATTGCAAAGCGAAAAAGCCTATTCAGACCATCGTTCTGTGATCAGAAAAGTGATCGCAAAAAAGTTGTCGTAATGCGGTTTCGTCGTAATGCGAGGCAATCATAAAGCGGGGCACGACTGTATATGGAAGTGATGATGTTGTGAAGTTGAAGGTAAGCTGCTATCGGTGCCATGCACTTATAAATGTTCTTGGGGCTGTAGACAAACCGAAAGGAAGGGCACAGAATTGATAGGGCGTATCTACGAAGAAAAAAATGGAGGTATTTTTGATAATGTGGGTGAATGGGGATATGAAAATAAGTGTCCTTTAAATCTATAACAACAGACTAATCTTTTCTTTTTAGCAAGTTAATGATGGATTCCAAAGTGACCATCCAGAAGTGTCTTGATCGGATGTAAGTATTTAGCAACCTGAGATCCAGAATTGGTCTGAGACCACCATCCTTTTTGGGTACCATGAAATAGCAAGAGTAAAAACCTCTTAGTGTGTCGTGGGAAGGTACTCATTGAATTGCTCACATTTCTAATAGAGATGAAATTTCTTCTTGTAGAACCTCTTTGTAAGGAGTAACTTTTATGTGTCCGATTGGAGGAAGTTCTACAAACTAAGCAATAGCCGAACTGGATTATGGACAGCACCCATGCATCTTTCGTGATGCGTTTTCAGTTGTTTAGGTAAGGGGCTAATCTGGGGTGAGGATAAACACAGGTTTTGGTGTGAGGGAATGATAAATTTCTTAATTCTGTAACATGATTCATTGTAAAGTTAAAGATACTGTTTTCCTTTCTTCGTAGGCTGATGGAAAGACTGATGACGTTGAGATGAAGTTGGGGTTCTAAAGGACAGATTGGTAGAGGATGACTGAACTAATCTTCCCTGAGTCAAAGGTCTATAACAACAGTACGTCTGGTGATATTGCTGCTGATATTGGTACTGATTTTGGCCAAATTGTTTACGTCCCTGAAACTTTTGAAATTTAGGCTGTTGCTGAATGTTATAAGACTTAGCCATCTTCTTTATTTTGTGAAATGTTTCCATAATTTCATCAGTTTTCTCATTAAATAAGCCATTTCCATCAAAGGGCAACTCCTCTATGCATGCTTTAGCATCCTCAGCAATTCTGGATGATCTCAGCCACGCAAAGCAAAGCGTGCTGCTTTGCATGTCACCTCAGCAATATCACAGACATTAATGACATAGAAGCAACCTCAGCAGCATGGCGAGCAGCCAAAAACTGGTGTCTGGCAACGTTCAATGCATTAATCAAGGAAGATTTCGTTTCACCAGGAGCCACCTGTAGGGTGGGCAAAACCTTGGCCCAAAGTTGTCTTTGATAGGCCCCTAGTGCGGCCTAGCAATTTGACACCCTTAGTAGAAAGGAGGCAAAAGAGTACATTTGTCGTCCCAAAACATCAAGTTTTCTTCCCTCATGGTCATCCTTTTTGGGTACCATGAAATAGCAAGTTTTCTTCCCTCATGGGTTGTAGGTGTCACTTTGGCCTTAGACCCCATTTTAGAGATATTGGTCTGGACGATAATTGAATTGGGAGCTGGATGTTTAGACAGAAACAAGGTGTCACTGCCATGTGCCCTGTAATGCTCTTCCATTCTTCTAGAGATCTGCATAGCATTGGTGAGCAAGCTCCAGGTGTCGTTAAGAATGTCCATGACAGGGACAAATGCCAGGCTGAGAGGGTGAGACTTTCCTTGATCAATATCACTAAACACAAGATCTTGTTTGGGAGGTGGTGGCTGCTGTGGTTTCGTCGTAATGCGAGGGGCCATGTGAGCGATCATTTGTGAATAAGATGTAGAGCAGGGGTGTCCAACCTTTCACCTTCCCTGGGCCACATTAGAAGATGAAAATTTGGTTTGGGCCGCACATAAATTTGGTTTGGGCCGCATTGGGGGGGCAGCCCTAGCCATCCTCTGCAGCCCTGCTCCAAGTGCGCTTACCAGCAGCTGCGATCTCACAGCAAAGGCTGCCAGCTTCAACTCCGGTGGCTTTATGAGGACGGGAGGGGGTCCACCTATTGACGGGGATGGCGCAATGCAGTCACGCAGCCCCCCTCTCCCCTCTCCTCCCTCTCCTTCCTTTCTTCCCTCTCTCCCTCCCACCATTGTGATGTGCCCCGGCCGGAAGCGGCGGCAGTGTAACTTGGAACTTGGGAATTTCTTTTAAAATAAAAAATTGCACTGGGCCGCATTACACTGGGTTGGGCAAGCCTGATGTAGAGTCTTGATACGGAGAGGGTGGATGCAAGTCCCATACATCCAAGTCAGGTTATTAATATTTGGGGGGACTTCTTCCGATGCATCCGGCAAAGGTTCCTCTTCCTGGTCAGAGTCAGAGAACATTGAGGATTCCCTTGGAGGAGAGCTAGAGGGTGAAGGTGACAATTGGCGTTTCTTAGAGGTTCCAGTGGTTTCCTTTGAAGATTGATGACCCTGGGATGGAAGAGTCCAGTGTTGAGATGCCTGTACTGCAGCCTTCTCAGCAACAATAGTTTTCTTTGACACCGAGACTGTATTTGCAGAGGGGTGTTGATCAGAAGCTCAAGGTCGAGAGACTCTGGGCATTGAAACCTCGACGTCATAAGCGGGTCAATGACGACGTCTCGGCGGCAACTGTGACTAAGAACAGGATGAGGCATAAACATATCTAACCCTCTTACGTCTGTTAAGTCCTTGAGTTCATAGAGGTGTTTGGCCTCGAAGTTGTCACAACATCGATGGCGCTTAGATTTTCCTTCTACCTCAATGTAGATGGGGTCATCATCAGCAGAGGAAGGTTGATGTCGAGAGCTTCTAGGCAAAACCAAAACCTCTCAGCGTGATGTTCGACGTTGAGCAGGAGAAATATGTTTTCTCTTCGTGGTTTTTTTCCTGGGCGAAGCATGGTGCAAGATTCCTCTGAATTCGATCGCCTTACTATAATCGCCCGCCCAGTAGAAACAGGGCTAGATTGGGCAGATTCATGGCTAGATATAATCTCAGCCTGAATGCAATCCGGAGACTGAGGCAGGCTCGGTACTGAAGCTGAAGCCTGTGTCACTCGGTGTCGAGCGGAGACAACCCCTTCCAAAACATAGTTGTGATCAGGTAAATCTACAGACATTTCCTCCAATATTCGAGAGGGCACAGACGCTGAGACTGGGAGAAGTTCCCGAGGTTTATCTTTAGGGAGTTTGTCTTTCTTGCTTTTATTGAATTTTTCAATAGTGTTCTTTTTCAGATTGTCCGCAGCAGAGGGTATTAATGAGGAACCTGTCGAAGGCTTTTTGTTAGCCTTTTTGGAGGATTTCAAAGGTAAGGAGGGGAAGGATAGAGTCACAGAGCCACTACGGGCAGCGGGTGCTAAAGATGGATTTTTCTCCATAGACATTTTAGGGGGGAAAGAGACTTGCTCCAGAGAAAGGCTTTAAGCCTTGCTCACGAGATTTCGAAGCTGACTTTGAGAGGTCCTTGCAATGAGGACAGGCATGGGGTTGATGCTCTTCCCCCAGGCAATACAAACAATGCTCATGCCCATCAGTGAAGGGTATTTTAGGCTTGCAAGAAATACACCTCTTAAAAAGCCCCAACGAGGCCAAACCCTCAAATTATTACAGGTTTTCCCCAAGCCTACAACATATGATTGATGCACAGAATAATACATGCAATGTAACCTTATGAAAAATGAGACCTGTTAATATCCTGTTCTTCATTTATACTGCCAGGGATATGTGACCCTATAGCAGTGATGGCAAACCTATGGCACGCATGCCACATCTGGCACGCGAAGCCCTTTCTTCTGGCATGCAAGTGAGCGGCCCACCTACCCACCCTTGTGGAAACAAACCTTTTGAAGTGGCTGCAGCTGGGATTCCCCCTTTCTCTTCCTGTTCTGGGTCTTTTAACTTCCTGTCCATCCTCATGATTCCCCCTTTAACTTCCTGTCCGTCCCCATGATTCCCCCTGAAACTGCCACTTCCTGTTCCGGTTCTGGTCTTCCGGGCGGCACGGCAGCCACTGGTTTCTTCCCCACCCCCTCATTTTGGGCACTTGAGCCAAAAAAGGTTTGCCTCCACTGCCCTAGAGCAATAAGTTCAAGTATCTCTCAAAAGAGCACCAGCTTTCTTTGAATTGCAGCTTGAAGAAGCATCTCAACTTAAATAATTATCAATATCAAAATATTACAGCTTTCCTATCTTATACTAATTGCAAGCCTTATTTGTAAGTAAACCCCTACTAAACTCAGTAGGGCTTAGACATGCACAGTACCAAGAAATCTTGTCTGTTCATACTTATCAATATAGTACAGTCTGACAGTCTGAATCTTTTTCACTGTTGTTATTTCAACCCCATGAACAGAAATTGATGAGAGAATCTAATCCCTCCCATTAGGAACACATGCCTGATGTATAACAGTCCACAATATAAGGATCATTCATCTACTTTACCTTGGAGTTTTTTCAACACAGCTACTTCCATTTTCAGAACTTGCTTTGGTTGCTGAGCTGACTCAACTTTCAGTGCAACATTTTCTCGTGTAAGCAAGTCCATGGCATCATAAATTTCTCCAAATCCTCCACCTCCTATCTTTTTCACCTGAATTAAATAAAACATTAGTTATAAAACTACAGTGCTTCTGAATTAACTAGTTTATACTTTTGACTATTATCCAGATACCAAAGCAGGAAGTGTTACAGTTACCTACTTAAGAGAAACGTAATTTTTAATCGATTACTACCTGTAATGGAAGAAATAAGTTAACTGAGACAACTGATTGTGTCAACATAAACTTTAAAGAGTTTATATTGCCCTCAATACGTGGGCAATGCATTCTGATATCTATGAAACCAGATGGATGCATGAATAAGATTTCTAGCAGTTAGAAGTTGGCTGCCAGAATTATGAATAGTCTTTTTCCCATTCCCAATGACTCATAAAACTAGAATATTAATAGTAGTAGAAAACATATGATATAGGCTGTGTTCCCACTCAATTAAAATAAATCATATCCAACAATTCATATACATTGTAGTCCATTAGATACACATATGAATAAATACTGTAAGTATAATGGAGGGTGGGAGTGGAGAAAGGTATCTCCTATACTTTTAGTTACACATACCCACAACATAGCAGGCACATCTCAAGAGCGTCTGCACAGGTACAAAAGACCATGAAGAAGAAAGGTGGAATATTCTCTCTAAACTGCTGCCTGCCACTTATGAAAGTATATCATAACTGCCCAGTCCAACCTAGTCAACAGTACATAAAACATTCAACAGGTTTTAGATGTATTCATCTAATTAACAATTTAAATTTCAAAGCTCTAAATGTACAGAAAAATATGAACATTTAGATAAAAAATTGGCAATTGTTATAGGCCACAGAGCTAAGCTTATTTTTTAGATAACAATGTCATCATCACCATGTAAGGCAAAATGTTCACAACTCTATAAAGAATCTACAAACAGAGTTATACGTACACAAAAGCAACATTCCCAGACTGAAACTCAGAGGTCAGAGAGTCACCGTAGATGAAAGAAGGCAGCATCATATTGGCAGGGTGCAGGTATTGTGCAATTGTTCCATCCCAACAAAAGTACAGTACTAATTTTCCTATGGCAGAGTGACGCTATGTGGGTGGCATATACATTTATAGCAAATGGCCACAACCCTCAAAATCTATCAGTTATTAGAAAAGAACAGGATAACTCCTCTGTTTCCCCCACAGCTTAACACACACAAATCTTTTTCTCACACAGAATGTCTCTAACAATGGTCACTTTCCAGTTACTTACATATATCTAAAAGCATCCTTTGCTGCCCACCCGCAGTTCAAAATTTAGAACATATCCGAAGACCTGACATCAGGACCAATAAAAGCTGAACACTTTTCAAGTGGCACCCATTATATGAGACTGGGGCCATATCAGTGCCAACCTCAAAGTATAGACCCCTGCTGTTCCCAACAATGCTCTTGAGCCTTCATACACTGTTTTTGTGTAACATTGTGACCAGTTGTTAAAAGACTCTCCACACCATAACAGTGCCAGAAGGAATTTGACATAGCACAAATCAGACAACCTGCGGTTTCTTGCAAAAAGTATTTTAAAAGGTATTATCATATCCCATGCCATAGGTTTCTCAATGTAGCTCTTTTATAGATGTATAGGAGCATCACAAAGAAGCAAAATCCAGTTTCTCAGTCTCAGAAAACACTCCACAGGATCAGTTTTCCTGGAATAACTTCCTTGTGCGTATCTTAGGGAAAGAACAAATCTATGCCAAGTTGTCTTGTAGGAGGAATGTGCTTCTCTTATGGAGGGTACCTCTATGAATTTTCTGCAATCTCACTCACCCTTATGATAAAGAACGTACATCATGTCAAGTGGGTGCATGAAACACTCTTTTGTTTTTCCAGCCTCTCATCATCCTTCAAATGCCCTCTACTTAATTAGATGAAGGGATCTACAGAAACTCAAAAGACTGTTAACTAGAAGGATAATATTATCAGTGGGAAAGATGCACTTCCTTCTCCATAAGCTTCTCAATAGGAACAATCATAAAAGCCCTCCCACTCCAATTCTCAGAGAAGATGCAGAGAACTCCTACGTTTCACTTTGGCAAGCTACCAACATATCTCACAATGCATCATCACTGTAAGTAATAAACAAATGAATCACAAATCCTAATTATCTCAGAAGGTCCTAAGCAAATCCATGAGACCAAAAGAGCATCTTATAAAAAATTGTAATCTATCTCTGAGAAATTGCCATTGGAAAAGTATCTGTATACTGAATTGAGTCATTTTCTTGGAATTGATCGATGTTTCAGATATATCATTATGTATTATCCAACTAACCTGAATTTTTATCTGCAAAGCTTATCAAGCTTATAAAGCAAATTATTTCAAAGCAGGTGATAACAAAAACATTTTGCCAATTCTACACTATGCTCTCCTATTTACTATCAGCAGCCTGCTGCCTGTAGACCCCTCTCTTCAGGCAGGTTCTCATTTAGTGATTGGTTGTCTACGAAGGGGTTCTTAAAATGGGACTGTTGTGTTTCTGTTGCTTTTAATGTGTTTTTAGTACTGTTTTAGTTACTAGTTTTAATATTGTAGTCATTTAATTCTTTTAATACTGTAATACTTTTAAATACTCTAATAATTTATTGTTCTCAGCTTTAAATATTGTTAATTTTTTAACACCATAAGCTACTCTGGTCTTTTTTGGAGACAGACTGGTATAAATATTTTAAATGAATAAATAAGGGAAAAGGACTAAATAAGATTTAATGTACAGTACTTACCACTTTCCATCTTTCTTTGACCAGTACTCCCACACCAAGGATATCTGGCTGTTCGCCTCCTCCACTCATTGCAGCCTCCTTGAATAGTACAGCTGCTATGCAAAGCCTGTATTACTAGTGACCATCCAGCTCCCAGAGGTGGCTTCCATTTAAGCAGAGGCTATAGAAACAAACAGCATTATGTAAAATCTTGCTAACTAAACACAGGCAAAACAGTCTTCCTATCCTATTCTAAGTGAGCCATTTTTCAGCTTCACAAATTTAAACTGAAATAAAGAAAACAATAACATTTCAAAATAAATATCAAGAACCAAAATCTTGATATGCTCTATTACAAATGTGAGGTCAATAGCGTAGAATATATCAGATGGGCGGGATATAAATTGAACAAACAAACAAACAAACAAACAAATAAATTTACCACTTTTTTGTGCTTTAAAGTATTTTATCAGATATTCCTGAAACAGAAGTTTATGTAATAAATAACAGAGCTCTCAAGCCACTTTTTCAAGATTTATTTATGTTTGTCATAAACAGATTAACACTTTCACATATACCATCTCAGTCATTCTTATACCAGCCCTACAGGGTAATCCACTGCTATCTCTGTATCACAATTCAAAACTCACTGAGGAAACAGTGGCTAGCCCAAGGCAAAAGAGGATGGAGTAAAATATACCTTCTTAGCACAAGAAGGCAAATAAAAGGGAAAGCCTCATAAAATTCATAGTTTTCTAAAAAAATTAAACACAATTTGATAAACAATCTACAGTTAAGGACAGCAATTTGCAAACCTTAGAGGCTCACTAATCATGTCAAATGTCCATGTGTAAATGCATAGTGTAAGGATGACTTGTGGTCTGAGCAGGGCAGCTCTCTCGCTCCAAAATGTGGGGACAAGGTATACCTACCATTTGTTTAGACCAGAGGCCACATATGGTAGAACCATTATTTCACAGATTTTACCATATCTTTCGCTCCATAAGATGCAGTTTTCCCCCCAAAAAAGTGGGGGAGAAAGCATGTGCATCTTATGGAGCAAATACAATTTTAAAAAAAAGGTTTCAGGCACCATCAACCAGAAGCTTCCCACCGCTATGCTGGGAGGCCTCTGAACTGGCACCACAGGCTGCTTGCTGTGAAAGCCACATCTGACCTCACCACTCTGCCATCTACACTGCTGGCTTTCCAGGATTTGTCTCCTGGAAAACCAGCAGGGCCAACAGGCCTATGGCAGCAAATTTAAATGGCAGAGGGCAGTGAAAACAGGCAAGGACCAAAGGGGAAAGAGTGACTCTAAAAGACTAGGGGAAACCACAAATGCAGTCCCCCACTACCATAAATTGCCAGGACGTGGTGGTGCTGTGGGCTAAACCGCAGAAGCCTGTTCTGCAGGGTCAGAAGACCAAGCAGTCGTAAAATCAAATCCACGGGACGGAGTGAGCGCCCGTCGCTTGTCCCAGCTCCCGCCAACCTAGCGATTCGAAAGTATGCAAATGCGAGTAGATAAATAGGGACCACCTCGGTGGGAAGGTAACAGTGTTCCGTGTCTAAGTCGCACTGGCCATGTGACCACGGAAGATTGTCTTCGGACAAAACACTGGCTCTATGGCTTGGAAACGGAGATGAGCACCGCCCCCTAGAGTCGAACACGACTGGACAAAAATTGTCAAGGGGAACCTTTACCTTTACCTTACTACCATAAAGTAGACAGTTGATTTTCCCACATTTGGGGAAATCACAGGGATCAGTACACCCGAAGTGCAATGGATGAGCCTTACCCACTTTTATGATCATGGTATCTCCCGTCAGGTATGAGTTGGAGTGGCCCTTGCACCTCCTACCCC